GTAACTGGGTATTTTCCAACACAGGTGCAGCAGCCGAAGGGCGGCTTACAGAGAGCTTCCACAGAAAGCTTGAGTTTCTCCTGACCCTGCTCCCTCCCCACGGACCCCTGGCAGCATCTCCCCACTGGCTTGGCCTCATTTCCCCCTTGGCCTGTTAACAATCCCCTGTGCATCCCCAGGGACCTGCAGAGAAGCAGAAGCACAGATCCTCCCTCAGCATCACACTGCACACCATGGGCTGCTGCCACAGGTAGAAGAGAGAAAAATAAACGAAAATTACAAAACCCTGCCCTTTTCCTCTCTGCTGTTGGTCCAGGTGCTGATCCCAGATTGGTGGTGCCCACTGGAGCCTTTGGGCCCCCACCTGCAGATGTGAGGACATGCAGTGGTGCTGTGGAGGTGTTGGAGCAGATCCTGCCCTTCCCTCTAGCCAGAGGGGCACAGCCTCATCCCTGTAAATCCGTCACATAGAGCAGGGAACAGCCTCCTGCCGACCACCACATCTCTTCAGGGACCCAAAAAACCTACAGAAAACCAGAATTGGAACTTCTAATGGACAACGATCTGGTTCCCCTAAAAGCACCAAAGCAGCAGCAGAAGCACCCGAGCAGCTGCAGGTGCCTGGGCAGCCGTGTGACTTGGCCTCCTGCCCAGGATGGCGCTGTGGGACGACCACGGTGATCCCGCCGGGTGTTTGCCCGCTCAGGAGATACCATTGAAGGTGTGATGGGATTTTCCTGCGCTGGCAACCTCTGACAGGTTGCAACCCTAAAGACAAACAGATTCTTTCAAGCAAACACGGAGTAAATGCAAAGCTGGGCAGCAGCAGGGGCGGGCAATCCTCCCCTGCCCAAACACAGAGACCTCGGGACGCCCACGAGCGCCCAGAGCTCGAGGGGCGCGTTCTGCTCAGGGCACAAAACAAACACCCACAGGCACAGGTAGCAGGATGTCTGTTCCCAGTCAGGCTTTCAGTCAAGCTTAATGCCACATGAAAGCTCCAGGCATTTATTCAAATGGTAAAAGCAAACCCAGAACACACAGACTGAGGTTTCTCGCAGGGATTAGTAACAAACTCCCAGGTAAGCAAAGGAACGGCCTCAGCTGAGCTGCTCCACGGCACAGTTCATCCAGGCAATTCTTGGGCTGAGTGCCCTGAGCAGCAAGGCTTTACCTGGGAACTTGGATCCACCCAAAATGACCACGCAGGATGCCCAGCAGAGCGAGACCTTCACATGCCCCCATGCTGACATACAGGAGCACCAGGTGTTCCCTTAGGGACTGTGAGAATAGAAAAAACAGATCCAAACTTCCTTCCTTCCTCCCTCTCCTGCCTTCCCGAGCGATTCAGGAGCCAGCAGGTCTGATCCCTCTAGTCTGGGCCGTTTGAAGTGTGAAGCATCACAGGATCCTGCAGCAGGCTCCGAGGGAGGGGCCGAGGGAAGGGCTGGGATGCAGATCAGCCACGCAAGGAGCATCTGGGGCCGCATCTGCGGCATCACTTTGTGTGCAGATCACTGAAACCATCCCACTCCTCCTCAGGAATTGTTGTGGAGAACTGACCTGACCTTGTTACAAGGTAATCCACAGCCAGGTTGGTGAACAAGCTGTGCTGGCACCTGCTGCAGCCCCGGGGGATCCTCCTCCTGATCAGAGGCTGTAGGAGCCCCCTCCCAACTCTACCCCCCTCACAACCACCCCCACAGCCTCTTCCCACCCTTGACCTCACCTGAGGGCTGGACAGGTGGTCTGATAACCTCAATAAGCACCAAATCTGGTTTGGTTTCACAGTGATTTGGGGTAAATCAGGGTTGGAGCTGGGTTTAAGGATGCTCAGTGTCTGGGGATGAAGCAAACCGGGTATGTTTAACTACAAGGTGACAGACTCAGAAGTTTTGTAGCTTCAATAAAACTCTCAACAGCTACAGAGCATTTTTTCTGTGTTAATTTAATCATACAAATATTCATTTATACATTAAGGAAAAAGCTTCCTTTATTTTCACCCCAATGTGCTATCATAGGACTTCTCCCAGACTCAGAGAGGCAACACACCATCCCGTGCTACACATGCACTGCCCCGGCGAGCACAGACAGGCTGGGAACCACCCACACACTCACACACGGAAAAATGAAACACAACAGAACCCAGACGTGGGACAGCGTGCATTTCCCACCCACCCCACTGCTCCGACCCACGGCTCTGCCCAGCTCCCAAACCCGGGGGGGGCCCGAACCCCACACTCCCGAGGTGTGGGCAGCAGATTCCCGCTCCCTCAGTCCCTCCCATGGCACTGCCAGTTCAGGGCCAGTCCCAGGGACATCCTGCTCCAGTTTGCCAAGGCTGAGAGGTGCCACTGCTCGAGTTGTGTCAGTGACAGGGCCCAAGTGGCTCTCACTTGTCACAGGGACCCCCTTAGAGGCCATCAGAGATGTTCTGTATTATCCTTTTCCCTATGGGAACCTATACAACCTCAGTGTGCCGAGGTCACCTGGGCAGAGCTTTGTCAAACTCATCTTAAATCCCCCTTTAAAAACTGGACACCTGAAAGTACGAGTAATCTGAGGTCTGGCTGCACTACAAAGCTCCAAGGAACCAGGAGATAAAACCACCTTTGGCCTCAGTGAAACAATTTTTACTCTAGGAAAAACCCAGAGGTAGAGCAACCCCTGACTGAAACATCCTTCCACCACCACAGCCAGGGCCACAACCCCGACCCCAACGGGCCAGTGCTCCGTGGATCCCTCAGCAAATGGGCAGAGTGGGATGGGAGCAGCAAGAGCTGCAGATCTCAGAGCAAGTTGGCTCTGGCCCTGCCTTTCCTCACACCCTGGAGCATGTGACCCTTGTCCCCAGGACACCATGGACCGCAAACACGCAAGAGGCAGAGAAACAGCCTGTGCAGAATGCATGGGGTGCATGCAGGTTTGGTTTTTTCAAGACAAGGGAAATTCAGCCTTAGGAGGAGCACAGGAACACGAGTGTGGCAGCCATGGGACATGGGAGAAGCACACGTGTCTGGGAGCAGAAAGCCAGTGCGGGGTATCCGAGGGTCTCCCACGTGCCTCCACTGACACCAGGCAAAGGTCACAGCACCAGCTCTAACTCACAGACTCAGATCTTGGTTTCCCCTCCCTTCCACTATGCAGCTGACACAAGGAGCCAATACAGATAGGGAATCACCTCGTCACTTGAACCAACCACAGCCTTCAGGGGTTCAGTGCCCTCAGAAGGGGAGCAGCAGTGCTGCAGGAGGTGTGATGGGCAGGGATGTTCATGCCCTCAGAGGGGCTCACACGAGGCATCTGGGAGGAAAGGAGGGAGTGAGGAAAGACTCCACCTGCCCACACCACACTATGAGGCTGCAGATCATTCCCCAGATCACTGCTCAGGGGGGTAACTAATCCAAGGCAAAGTGTTGTTACAGGATGAAACCCAAGCACACAGAGCAGCGCAGCGCCTTCCGCGGGTTCACTCGGACCCCAACACTCCCCCAGCTCCAGCAGCTGCCAGGGCAGAGCCAGGTGCCCACCAGACTGCAAGAGCAAGTGTCAGGTTGCCCAAATCCTGAAGTGCCACTTCTATGCAGGTAATTTTTTATATTACACTTGTTTCTCCCAGCAAACAGATTTCTGGTAGGTGGGAGAACGGAGATTTCAGGTAATGGTGATCTTTAACTGAACCTGTGAAACATAAACAACATCTATCACTCAATTCTTCCTCTGTTGGACACAAGGAACTCCCACTGTCCCCACAAGGTCCCTCCATATGCATTCAGGTAATAGTACTTGGCAGCTGCAAAGAAGGATTCCCCCATTCAAAACCAACTCTAAAACACACAAACAGCCAACAGCAGTAAGGGCAGAGCTGAACCTGCAACTCCAACACTGGGAAAAACTTTCAGGAGAAAGATCTGGAAGAAGGTAGTGGGAGCTTTGCATATTCCTGTATCTTTGGCAGATGGCTGCTCCAGCCTGGTTTATTGGGCAGGACAGTCCTCAGCAGGGTCTGTGGGACAGCACTTCACAATAAACCCTCCACAGCTTGAGGCCGAGCTCCCTCCCCTCACACCACACTTCCCAATCCAGAACTGGAGGAAAACACATTGGAGGAACAGCAGAGCTACCCAAATCTTTTTATGATCCCTCCCCTAACACAAGTCCTACAGAGCCCAGTCAACAAAGGCAGATGAAGATGAGGCGACAGAAGGACCCAGGTGGTGGTGCCAACTCCTGCTCTGAGCTCCAGAACACTGGGATCAGCCTCCAAGCTCACACCTCAGCACAGGAGAAACAAATGCAAACTTATGCTCTGTAAGAGAGAGAGGAGACCCCAAACGGAAAGGACAGGACGTCCGTAAAGCTTTGCAACTACCACCAGGTGAATTACAGCTACAGAGACTCCCCTTGGCACACGGCGCTTGCGTGGTGGTTCTGGGCACAGCTACTGCACATCGAGAGTGAACAAAAAGGGATTTTAAACTGCTAACCACACAGGACAGCTTGGGAACCTGAATAAATTGGATTCTTATTAACATGGGTGTGCATTTGTGCACCTCACGTACCAGGGGAAGGGAGACAAGGCCTCCACATCATCCCAGAAGTCCCAGAGTCTCCGTTTCCAACTCTGATACCAAGACCTGGCCTCAGCGCGGTTCCCAACAACACGCAGGACAACTAACAGCAACACCCAAACCAAAAGGAAAAGAAGACTTAAAAGATTAAAAAGTCGGTAACTAAAACCAGCAGATGCCATTAAAAACGCAGTGCTGGGGGCAGACCCGACCTGGCATTAAAAAGGCCTGACAGGAGCAGCCCCTGCACAAACCCCAGCGGGCGCCGGGCCAGCAAACCAGGACATTCCGGGAAAATGCACGCTGTCCCTTAGGAAAAAATATCAACAAGAAACAAACAGAAATTAAACATTTGCTCAAACTACAACCGCTCTGTAGGCAAAATATTCTTTTTTAAAGATGGCTTTTAAATTTTCATTTTTAAACTTCTTTTTAAGCTACCTAATTATGCGTGAGGATGATTTCTAAAAACCCATAGTGTTGGTGTCTCTTCTTCCTCATAGCATTTACACCACTCTGAAATCCAGCAGTCACACATGCATACTCAGGTTTTGGATTTTCCTCTGGAAACATCTAGTCTTAAGTTACTGGGTTTTTGTTTATTTTCTTCTTTATCCAGAACACGGAGGCAGAGAAGGGGGGTCCACGCTGTGTCTGTCTGCCACATGAACCCCCTCCCTTCCCCCAAAAGTCAGTTTTTTCTTAAATTCTCCTCTTGTCGATACCCGTTTTGTGTTTTTGTGTTTTAAGACTGTCCGAAGGGATAAGGACCGTGGAAACCCTGAAAGAAAGTTGGAGACATAATCAATTCAACAGGCAACAAACAGAGCGCTCAGTGCTCACCTCCAAATTCTGCCCAGCCCAGCCCAGGGCTTCCCCCCAAAAACAGCCCCTCTCCCCCACCGTGCCTGTGCCTGTCCAGCCTCACAGACACTCCTGAACTGCACCTTCCAGGGCTGGTTTCCCCAGAGAGGGCAAATGCCATCACTTACCTCTCTCAGGTGTTTTTTAGGCCAAGGCCACAAAATAACCGGTGTTTTCTACACCAGAATCCCCTACAGATGCTACAACACCTGCAGCTGCAGCCCCTGCAGCCTCCCCAGTCTGTCCCAGAGACCACAGCAGTTGCAGGGCTGGAACTGGGTAAGAGGCTATTTCAGAAAAAAAGTGAAGATTTGGAAACCCATGTCCCCACAACTGCCATCTGTGCTCTCTCAAGGTAACAATGCACATTTGCCTTCAGTGAAATCAACCACAACATTTACCAAAAACCCAAAATGCTTCCTACAGAATCCATTTCCCTCCTTTACATCCTGAAGTGAGTCACCTAAAATGTCAGATCTAGTCACGGGTCTCAAATTAACATGAACTGCTTTTGTAACTTCTGTTGTTTGGATCAGCTATCTGGGGTTTCATCAGGAAGCAAAAGAAAGAACCACAGGCAGCACGAGATATCCCCCAGCTCACAGGAAGATGAAGTTTGTCAGTGATGAAGGTAAATCCCCTCCTGAAACCCTCCTGTAAGACCTGACACACACTGTGGTCAGGAGGCAGAGGAGGGAGAAAAGCTCGTTATATCTCATCATCAGAGTCAGTAAACCATTATGCAAATGCTTCTAAACACAGTCCAGCTCTTCCCAGCACACAGTGGGGCAGCTGAGAGCCCAGAGAGCCAAAGCCATTCCTGCTCAGGCTGTACACGAAGCTCTGAGCGCAGTTCTCACCACCTTGCCTTTAGCAGGGCAAGTTTCAAGGGAAACACCCTTCTCTGCATGTTCTCCTACAATTCCATAACCCCCTCATTGCAGGAGCCAGGGCCGTGGAGCCACAGGTCTGAACACAGATCATATAAAAAAGTCAATGTGGCCAGCAAAGCCCAGGCTGGAGAGCTCTGCTGCAGAGCTGCACTAGGGAGGAAGCACCATGAGCAGTCTGTGATCTTGCTACAGCTGGAGAGAAAAAGTTCATTCTTCGGGATATATCAGGTGCTAAATACAAGTGAGTGGTAAAGTGAAGCAGCTCTCAGAATTCAACAAAGAGAAGGACAAGCAGACAATTAACCAGGACATCTCCTGAACTGTGTGGGAAGTATGAAAGACTGGGAATGTGGAAATTGCTGTTTGCAGACAGAAATACATGCAAGTGATGGAAAAACAAACACGCTTCTACCCCAGGAATATGCTGCAGTCCCAGTTTGTAAAGCTTTTCAAAAGAGAACAGCCAGCAGATTCCAGCATGACAGTTCACCTCAGGAAGGAGACACTCCCAACAAAATCCAGGCTGAGCTACCCAACACTTCTGAAAAATAGTCACAGAAATAGGGGGAAGGGGAGGAGCAGGAGAGAAACATTAAGATGGTGTGAACAATTGCACAAGAAAAGGACACAGAAGGAAAGGAACATAGGAGCAGGATCCCAAGCAGTCTCACCTCACAGGGATTAAGCCATTGTACTTATTGCTCTGCAGAAGGAACACAGGATTTGCTGCTGATTTCCTGTGCAGACACATTTGCCAGAATTTGCTTCATCTTTGAGCTACCTGTACACAAGGCTTTGTTTGAGGCACTGCCTGGCGAGCACTTGGGAGGGGTTTAACCATCACCTGCCCCTCTGCCAGGAACACCCAGGGTGCACCTCACCCCCGTTACCACCCCATGTTACCCCCCATGGGATGTTACAGGCAAAACCGCCTTGCTTTAACCTGGGGGGGCCACAAGGCCCTGCTCCCCTTGTGGTGCACACAAGTGCCATCACCCAGCCCTCAGTCCAGCCCAGTAGAGCAGCTCCTTACTGGTTTTGGATGGAGGGACCTCGTGAAGAGGCTGTGAACCCTATCTGCAGGGGAACCCTCTGGATCTTCAGATACTGGTTCCTGTAGCATGTAATTCAAAGCTACACAATTATCTAATCATGTGTCAATTAAACCCAGAATTTAGCTCACCTTCAGTGTGGCAGATTCCTCAGTATGTACAGCTCTGCCCCACTGCACTGAACACCCAACACCCCGGAATGAGCTCCTTGGGCAGTGCCAGGAGCAGTCCCAGAATCTGTGACCACGCTCAGCTCCTCCTGACACAAGGAATTTCACCAGGAAAAAGCCCCAAACGTTTTCTCTGGGGATTGCCACTCTTCACAGCACTTCACCTACCCGAGACTCATTATGCACATGAGAACATGCAAAATCAAACACCACCTGTGCCTCTTTAAGCCGAGTGTGAGCTGGTTTAGCACAGACCCTGAGCAGGCAGCTCCCCCTCCCCAACACACTGTCCCCTGCTCAGCCAGGCCCAGGCTCTGCAGAGCCAGTGTCCCACATTTATTCACCGTGCACAGCGTAAGGGTTTGATACCAGAAAACTTCAGTTACTGCTGCAATGTAAATACCAAACCCTGGTATGACATTTTCAAGACTAATTATCCCTTCTATGCAGCATTTTACATAACAAACATGCAAAAATAATTCTGCAGACAATTGCAGTTTTTCCAAGTTGTTTCAATGGAAGGATTATTCCCACTATTTTTGGTGCATTCCCGTCTGTTCTCCAAGTGGGATCACTGTCTTTATGAGAAGCTCAGCTGCAGCTTTGAAAACTCACTTTCAGTTCTTCCAGAATGTTCCCCAGAAGTAATTGCTCACTTGCTGGTGGGAGCACTAGGCTCTTCACACAGACAAGTGTGTGAGAACACAGGACCATGATTTTCCAAGAAAAGACTCTGCACGAAAACTACTGGTATAAATTCTCATTTGACTTGTGCATCTAGAAGGGAGGTGAGATGTTTTGGGAAGTTAAAGCCTTTGTGAATACTGAGCTCTGTAAATGGAGTCACCTGTGCTGGGAACAAAATGAGGGTTAAGTGAATCTTTCATAAACCATCACACACAGGCTTTCAGACAGCTCTTTATTTCACCTCCGTGAGCGAGTCACCACCAATGCAGGTACACTTCCAGGGAAGGAGGTGGATGCACAGCGATACAGGAGTCTCCAGAGTACACTGACAGTGGCACAGCCCAACCCCGGCCCCTCAGGCCACTCCTGCCCCGCTGCTCTCACCTCACTTATGTAAACCAGCACAAAAGAGCACAAAGCATCCAGCACTCGAGTTTGATTCCATGCATGCCGTGCAAACACGGCGTGGCAGGGAGACCACCGGGAAGTTCAGAACCCTGTCGGAGCAGGCACAGGCAGGGCTGGTTCAGGTGCCCACAGGTGAGGAGGTGACAGGGCTCAGGTACCTCACTGAGCTCCATGCACAGCTCACTGATGTGCTGCTGGGCTGCAATGGAGCAAAGTTTAGCTAAAATCAGGTTGTTTGGCACTTCCCACAGTCTGGAAGCATGCAGACAGCTGGGTGTCATGGATGAGCCGACAGGCAGAACCCAAACACGCCAGTCTCTCACCAGAGAAGCAAACCAGCTCGTGCCACCACAGCCCAGGCTGCAGGTGCAGCCATGGCAGCTCCGAGTCCACTATTCCCCCTCCGTGCCCAAGTGAATGGAGCCACAGGGTGACCAGCCCAGCGTGGAGCCCACATGCCACGAGGGAAGGAGCTGCTCTCCTCCATGGATGCAAACATTCATGGGGCACTGTCCTCACCCACAAAGACAGCTTGATGACCAGTTTCCAGTGAAAAAAAATCTGTCTTAAAGTTTACACAGGTACTCCAAAAATCTGCAAATTGGAGGTCCTGGTTTGGGAGAAGCCTCTAGAAGCCACAGCAACGTTTAAGCACAGGGAGGGGAAGCCAGTTAAAGGCTCCAAGGACACAGGGTTGGTTCCCCCTTATGTACAGAAAGCTGCCAAGTAGCACGGATTAGAGCTCAGCTCCACACAGAATGGAGGGAGATGGGGAGCACAAACACAGCAGGAAAAAAGGAGTTCAGAGTTTAATGCTCTGATCTCCAGTATGTTTCTATTTCACTGGGGTTTGAAGAGCAACACAAGTCAGGATCAGGGCAGCCAGGCACCATTTGCTGTGGTGGAGACAATGCCCAGTGTCCTGTCTAGGCAAATCTTTGCAGAATCACAACTTCCATGTGCAGTTTTCTGCATGGCACAGAGAGCAGTAACTCCTCAATTCATCTGGGCACCAGATTTCGATACAGATCTATGGATTTTATATAGAGATAAGTACAATCTAAATGTCAGGATATGGCTATTCACTTCTGATCTATACAGACATGGAAACCCATATGTTTCTTCCCTCAGTTAAGCAATTAAACTAATTCCCAGGCACTGTAAGACTGGATCTTGGGCTTTTAATGGAAAAGCCAGTCACAAGAGAGCACCAGTGACTGTGCAGGGTTGCTATGAGACAGGAGGAGTAAATAGGAGGAAGCTGTATCAGCCTCAGCTCTGTGGAGAATCCAGAGAAAGCAACTGCCAGAGAATAAAACACCCGTGCAAGGGGAGATCTGGGATCCAGTGCAGCTCATCCCTACCCCGAGAGAAGCATCCTATCCTGCACTTAAGCACATCTTTACATCTAAGAACATGCAAAAACCCCACTGGGAATAGATTTAACAACATGCTTCAAGCAAAGCCCAGACAGGTCCTGGCCTGCAGCCTCCCCACAGTGCATGTGGAAGGTAGGCAGGGGGCCCAGGCAGGTGCTCATCACAGCAGGAATAAAGGGCACCATTTGTTTCAACCACTCACAGGTTTCATCTCATCCACTTACAGGGAATTCTGTATATGGTTTGGTTTGTTTTTCCCTAGGAAAGTTTGTTCCACTGAGCAGAGCACCCACACCACGTACTCTCTGCTGCTGAATCAAAGCATTTTGAATGTTTCCAGGTGTGAAATGCTGCTGTACTTGTCTAACCCAGCAGCAGATGGCACATCGGCATCACCAAGATCCCAACTGCAACAGGGAATTTCAGAGGACAAGCCACACCTGCTCAGTGCACCAGAGGGAGAACTAATTCCAACAACTTCGAGCATGTTTTACAGCTGCAGATGCTAGAAACTGCTCATCTTATCTCAAAGATTTCATGGTCTTGTGCACTGCATGACTGGGTTCCCCAACAGCCTCTCAGCAGAGGAATCCTCCACAGTGATCCGAGAAATAACTAAGGGCTTATTTTACTTCTAACTACACGGCACAGGCCCTTCTGAACACCTGCCCAGACCTTACCCATTCCCTTTGCCACATCTCACCAAACAGCCCCTCAAATACAACCAGGGATTCCCTCATTCCCCGGGTACGTGAACGGGGACAGAAATATCACAGGTCCTGCCCAAGAGAAATAAATGTCTGGGATGTCCAACTCCCTCAAAGTTGTTCACTACAGAACCAGAACTGTATCAATATGAATATTGGGTCAGCGGCAGAAAGCTTCTTGCTCTGGGCAGGATGGGCAAGACTGGAACAGGACTCTGATCTTCAGACCTACCTGAACAGCCTCCAGAGGAGAAGCTACCTTGTTTTACTATGTCACAAACAGAAACACTGCAGCAAAGACAAAAACCCTGCAAAAATCAATGAACTTTCACACGAACCCGACCAAAAAGGACTATAAAAATTATCCCTTCTGAAACAAGCAAATAAAACATCTGCTTTAATCTTGAATAATCCACCTCAAATCCACCCAAGAATATTCTGTAAATACAAAAACAAACAAACAAAACAACAACAAAAAAGGGGAGGAAAGGTCACCTGCCCTCCGTGTGGGGTTAGATTCTGACTGCCCACGTCTCTCCAGAGCAAGGATCCTGAGCTCCAGGTTACCAGGTAACCAGCTCACTTCGATCTAGTGACACCTCCCAGGTGGTGCTTCACTCTCCTGTTGGTCTCTGTCCCCCAGCACAGCAGCACCTCCGAGGGGCTCTGGTTCCTCAGCCCCACATTCTCAGCCAGCCCAGCCCGGCCCCTGGGGAGCACCAGGCCCCACACACAGCACTGCTAATTTGGGGGTGTTCCACTGACAGCAGAATCATTCCCAAGCCATCCACTTCACTGCCAGTGAGCAGTCTCGCAGCAGGAGCCAGCCCAGCCATGGTGGTTGGGAGCAGAGCACAAGAGGGTGGCAGGTTGGCACACTGTCACCCCGGCCATAAAAAGTGCACAGCCCTGGTGCAAAGGTCACTAAAACATGGTCCACTGGCAGAGGACAGGCAGGTCATCCAGGGAGGAACTAAAGTGCTGTAGGTGAACTAACAGTAGGGCTTTATTAAGTCATTCAGCAACCAAGTGTTATTGTCCTACACAGCCTGCTCAAAGTACAGTAAAGCATTTTTAAAAGATTTAAAAATCAAACTAGTTTGACATACGACAGTACACACCTACACATACTGCTGCATTAACAGGTGGATTCTGAATTGTAAATAATCCTGCAATTAATTTTTCACACACAAGCAAATAAAAACAGTCAAAATATCACTCAGACTCATATAGCATCCACCAAGCAAGCTTTTGAGAGAGATTTAAAGTAAAGATAATTTAAAAGTCACCTACAATTATAAACAAGACAAGGACATAGACAGGAACAGTCCTTTGATTGACTGTTCCTGACAGGCAGCTTCTGGGATCAAATGGTGAGCTCTCCCCCACATCAGCTAAAAAGAAGTTATCTGGTTAATCTGAAGTTTGGGGGTGTGGATATTTGTTCTCTGTTCGAAATTATGTCAAACTCAGGACACATCTAGAGAGATATTTTGACTTATTTGCACACGTGACCGGAGCAGGCTCCAGCCACTTGCAGTTACAGCAGCCAAACAAGGTTATATAAATTTGAAGAAGGACTTGAAGTGAAAACAAAAAGGTGGATCTGGTAGAGTCTATCAGAGGCAAAAATATTTTAATATAACATGAGGAGTTGGCAGAGTCAGACAGTCAAATTCAGAACCTTCCTTAGCAGGTCTGGCAGAAGCAGAAGGAAAGGGCTTTGCAGTTTGGAAGGAAGAGCAATCACACACCTGCCTGGCTCCTCCCCTACCCGTTCTCCTGCTCACCCAGGGCACCTACCTTACTGTACGTCACTACCGACAAGTTGTTCGAGTGACTGCTGGGGGAGAGATTTACAGAGTTTTGTGACAGTCCATTCTGATCTTGTTCGATTTGGTCAGGAGCAGGCCCCCATGTGTTTTTGCTGATTGTGCCTAGCTCGGAACCCCCAGGGTCTTTTAGGTTGTTTTCATCTGGTTGCCTGTTCTTCTGTGGAGAGGCGAACGGGTTAAAGTTTCCTTCTACCTTGCGATGTGGCTGCGTGTTGAACTCTGTTTCAAAGGATGACAGCTGCTGTGTGACACCCAGAAGTCCTCCAACTTCCACACTGAGGATCACCCAGATGACATCTGTGGAAAAAGAGACACATTTGGGCTGTCACTTACATCAGAGTTTATGAAGAAGGGGCAGAAGGAGCAAAACAGAACATGAATTCAATCCTTTACACCAGCAAGAAAAAGACCAATAGTTTAAAGCACATTTTTATGAACCCTCAGTAATACTGGTCCAGCAGGCTCAGCAGCCTGAATTTTAGGAGCGAATTAAGGACGGTGGGATTGTACCTTAGGGACACACGACTTGCTCAGGGATCCTTGCATCCTGCAGGGCTGGGACCCCCCAGTACAGCCCAGTACAGCCCAGTACAGCCCAGTGCCCCCCCGCACACCCCCAGTGCCGGTGCGGCCGCAGCGGAGCGGCCCCGCAGCGCCCTCTGCCGCCCGCGCGCGGCCCCGCACGCCCCGTGCCGCGGTGGCCCCGAGTCGGAGCTCGGTGGCCAAAGGGGTTCACTCGTCTTCTGCCAAAAGCAGCAACTTCAGGCTACGCAGGGACATCTCCCACAGTCCGGGGCACTCGGGAATCCCGGGAACACCTCGGCTTTGTGAGCACACGCCATCCCTCCCGCACGGAGCCACCCCTGCCCATCCCTCCCCTCCTCTGCACCGAGGAGGTGCAGCAGTGCCAGCGCTGCCAGCAGCCCCCTCCCTCTGGGCACTGGTATTTGTGCCTCTAAGTGCCAACACCTCTCGCTCAAACTCCGAAACTTGGGATACTCCAAACTGCCAACAGAGACACAAAGATGTTCTCAGTGTAAACTAAAGCTGGCAGAAAAGGGCTGGAAGGCTGCACCAAAGGCAGACGTTGGAGGCCCAGGCTGAGGCAAAACAGCAAAATGTGTTCTTTAAACAGAGAAATGGCTTGCAGGGGATGCACTAAATCACTGCATTAAAACCTGGGCATTCGCTTCTCACAGGAGGCTTTCACCAGTAACAGATTTTATGCTCCTATGCAGTTCATGGTGTTCAGCACTGGCAAACTGGGAAAGAATCCCAACAAGGATCAACTGGGAAAGAGTCTCCAGGAGAGCTGTGCAAGTCCCTTTGTTTTCCAGAGTTTTGTGTAACCTGTAATTCGTTCCAGTGTTTAGAAAACAGTTCTGTGCTGACCAAGACAACAAAGCAGCTCCCTTGATGTTTTCCTGCATTCCATGTTCTATATTTAGGCCGGGGCTGGCAGAGCTCTGCCCTCCTGCTCTGTTATCAGAGCTCGGTGCAGGGGCCAGTGGTGTCCCTGCTGTCTGCAGTGGGAATGCCAGGGAGAGCCTGGAGCGCTGGGAAAGGGCCCACTCACCTCCGTAGTAGAGTCCCGTGGCAGTGCACATCCGCCACTGCCCCTGGTACATGCCGGCAGTGCTGGGGCTGCACATCTGCACGCTGACATCGGCCATCTCCTGCGGCTCCAGGGACCTCACCATCACCATGTTCACGTGCCCAAACTGGTCACCCCCAACATACTTCAGGCAAACCCCTGGGGGCCACGCCTCTGTCCCTGGGATTAGACAGGAGAGGGAATTACTGACAGTGCACCGGGAAAAGCTTTGTCTGCTTGTGTAAGCTGGGATGAAACACGCTCGTTACAACAGCTGTGCAACTGTCAGACAGTCAAAGGAAACCAACAGGACACAGGAGCAGTGGATGCTGAGGAAGAATAAATAGAGTTTTCGAACCAGGCTTAACTGGTGCATTTAGGGACCAGCAAAACAAATGATATTTCTATTTGACTAGTTTCTAGGTCTTTGCTACACAGGAAAATTCTCCAAGTCCCAGTGTAACTGCTGCAAAAAAAAAAAATAAAAAATCAACATAACTGACACACAGGTCCCTTTCTCCGGAGGCAGTGACAAGAGCAGCACCAGGGGGTCTTTGTGTGTGTCCTCCATTTCTGCTTCCCCGCATGCAGCTCCTGAGTCACGCCACATCAAATACCTGTTCTTGATGCAAAGTGTTGGCAACACTTCCTTTCAGGGATTCCTTCCCTTCTAAGCCTGCTAGCAGTCTCAGGAGGAACTCATAGTTTGAGTTACAACTGAAGTGCCAGCACTATTTCCCAAATGGATTTATTTCCCTCCTTGCACCAACACTTTTCTCAGCCTTATGCAAAGGTGGGAAGGGTTGTGAACATATGATTTATCTGTGGAGATCCATGTTTAGACTGCAGACACTGGACTGACAGCGTGACCTGGCAATCAGAGAGATAGAAAACAGTTCCTGAGTGCAGGTACAGCCACCAAAGACAACAAGTGTTGGGGCAGACAGAAAGAAAAAGTGTTTCTGAGACTCGTGAAAAATCAGTTTAGCAGAATTTTCTTTTGCTTCTTTCCCAGTCACGTGACCTGACTAAGACAACAACTTTGAGAATATCTCCTGCTTGGCTGGGGTTGACAGAAATGGCCATGGAAAGCCTGAACCACCACGGAGCTTGGAACTGCTCCGTGTGGTCCAGGGCGAGCACGGCAGAGCCTGTTCTGACCTCAGGTTACCCCAAGGAGTATCCTTTGCAACAGCTTGCCTGCTAATTTAATCCCTGTGGATACTTCAGCGAAGACACGGCAGGGACTGGTTTTCTTGTCAAGCCCTTGTCTGTGGAATTCACAGCCTCTCAGGAAAGCAGGATGTGCATGAGTACAGCGGGATGTTCAGCATGAGGGAGGTACCAGCTGGAAAGGTGCTGAGAGAGGAGGGCTCTGAAAGAGGATCTGGGTGCCTGGCTGACCTCAGCCTGGGGTGTGGGGCACTTGAGCACGAAGTCTCATCTGCAGAGGTTGGCAGCCCAGCAACACAGTTTAGATTAAATAATTTATGTGATTTTTATCAGGTTTAATGGCTTTAGGCTTGCAAGGTGCCTAGAATGCTGCAACTGATAAGCCCCATAAAATGAAATTATGATTATGTCATTCTATTTCAGGACACTCTCAGGAGATGATAAATTGCAGTGAGTGTCCTGCAGAGCCAGCAGCAGCTGGAGGCAGAGTGTGGGGAGGAAGCCAGGTTGTTAAATCCTGCTGCCCTTTTCAGCAATGGTTCTACTACACAAACTGCTCTTTTGGCAGACAAGGCAGCACAGCCCTGCAGGTACCAGAGCAGGGCACTGGTTTTTAATGACACACGGGAGAACCAGCTGACACGCCTCAAAGTGCCAATCTCTGAGCTCTGCCTGTCACACTCATCAGACCCAGAACACTCCAGTGACATATTCCTCAGGTATTCCGTGTGCTAGAGCTCAAGTCATGTAATCAAGGGCTCTTGGAGAGCTGTTAAAAACCTTGGCACTGCTTCAGTTACCTGCCTAACAAGTAGATATTATCTGGAAGCATTACAGCCCTTTGATATTGTACCTTAATTAAACGGTAAAATGGTTTTCAAGTGCTGCAGTCCTCCCCACACTGCACAGCCACAGCCAGCAAGTGAAGCTGCATTTCCCTGAACGTGCCTGGGCAGTGTGGCTGCACCGAGCCCTGGCCTCCAGCACCACCGTTAGGGCACGGATGGACTGCCTGACAAGCTGGGCTTTAACCCACACAGAAGCCAAAACAAATGCTGGCCTCGCCAGGAACTCCCAAGCCAAGCTGAGCTCCCGCCCCTCATTTTAGAAGGCCCACAGATTTCAGAAGGTCAAACATTCCAAGAACAATGAAACATCACTTGAACTGAGATGTTAAGGCTGAATTTGCATGCAGGAAAGAGCACATCAGAGGGACAAGAAAGGGGGGAGTCTGAAGGGTCCAAGACAGGGGCGTAGTCATAACACACACAAATTGAGATACTAAGAGTGAAGAAACAAGACCTGCCACACTTACTAGATCTGTAAGACCTGTATTTGGGACAGTTATAAAAAAATTGCCGATTTTTCACAGTAGTGGAGTTTAAGGAAGTTCCACATGTCACCCTTCCATTGTACTGTCAAACAGAAGGAGGCAGAAAAAGTAAACCGAAATATTAAGCCCTTTCTCTAGAACACAGTCTCTATAAATTAGTGTTCTTAAACACCTCCATGTGTCCTGATGAAATACTCTTATATTTTTAGTGTGGTTTTAGTCTCTGTCATACTTGGATATTCTGTCCAAGCCTGTACAGCTCGAGTACTGCAGCTATTCCCAAGCAGAAATCCTGGGAGAGCTGAACCTGACTTGTGATGACTCCCAGTGTCAGGCCTCAGTGTGTGACCATTCTCCCTCATGTAACTGCAAGCAGGGCAATTAAATTCAGACACACATTTTAAATGTTTGTGCAACATCCTGTCAGTGCACTGCTTGAGGACAAGGGATTCCTTTGCATCCATGCATCTCGTTTTTCTCTCTGAGTGCATCCCAACAGATCAAGCACTGGGAATGCACTTTGCCCAGTCTCACTTCCTGGATCCCAGCCCCTGCTTTGACTTATTTTGAACTGGAATGTGGTCTCTCCAGCCCTGCATCCTCTTGGAACATGAAAAGGCAATTCTGCCAGAAATGTATTAAAAGCAAAGGAGAGCTGCCATATGACCTTGTGTCACTGCCTCGTTTGTCTGCAGGTTTCCTAGAGCGTGTTTGTGTGGTGGCTGAGGAACAGGACTGATGGCCTGACAGAGCTGCACATCCCGCCACAAAATGTTTGTGCCAACTCAAGAAGAGGAACTTGCAGAGGTTGGCAGCATCTCCCTCAGGGACAGGGTGGCTCCAGCCCAGGTGAGTGCACACGAGCCCCCTGCCTTGGGCCAGCATCCCCCTCCTGGACCTGCCACCCCACTGCCAGCACCCGCTGCACAGGGTTTGCTGCAGCCCAAAGGCCTCACCTGTGTTCTGTATCCTCCACGTCTTTGTAAACTGGGTATCGGGAGGGATGGACTCCCCTTCACCTATGGTGACATCTTCCACAAAGGACATCGAGGGGACATTGATATTTGGACTCTCGAAATCATAGTAGGCTCCGATGGCAGCTTGTAGATTCCTAAAAGGGAAAAAAGCACATTACAACCTGAAGTACAGGCGGGTCAGGCCCTTTGCACAGGTGCACATGTGTCATCCTGAACAGTTCAGCAAAAATACCCAGACTATAATAGCTCTGCTGCTCGTGTGTTTTTCAAACCTTTGATCTCTACCACATAAGTATTCTGTAGCCCAAGATAACAGAGCTCAAAATACAGCATTCTTCCTTGCTAGGGATACTGTTTTAGACCAGTTTGCTACTCTGCTTCTATTTTCACTGGAAATCTTGGAGACCTCTACCCCATCAGCTCTTTTTGAAGCTTGCTGAACAGTTCAGGACGCAACAAGAGGAGAGCTATGGAGGCAAACACAGGGCAGTTTCTTCCCACCAGCCTTGTTTCCTGAGCTAATTTCCAAAGGGCCAAACATCTCCACTTTATTTTGGTATAGAAGGTCCAAAAGGAGCACAAGAGGAACAAAACACACAGAATGCTCTTCTGATAACTCTCAAGGCCAAAGAGCACTGGTAGCTACAGATAATAACTCCAGCCCTGCTGCTTTTGAAACATACCACCAGGTAGGAACTATTTACTCATCATTAAAGTGCCTGCTCAGCTCTGGATAGTCACAACTCACAGGAACTTATAAACCACCTGAGTCAAAAGTTCCCACTGAATAAAGACAAATGACAGTGCAAGCCTGTGATATATTAAGGACATTCAAAAAGCCACAAATGTTATTGATTCCTGAGCTGTGGTGTAGCTGCAACCCATGATAATTAATGTGAGAAGAGGAACAGTCAGGCAGGAAGAGGATTCATGAGCCTTAGCTCAGTTCCACGATATACTATTAAGTTATTACGTAAGTGTTTGGCAAGTCATGTAATTCCTCTGTTTATGCATGTCTGAGAGGTTGTGGCCCTAATTTACATGTTGTGAGTGGGTGCTGTAGAATGGAGATGAGTAAAATCTCCCCAAACGCAACGGGCACAACAACTGCTTTTTATTCATGATTACAGAAATCTGTGTTGCTTTTTTGAGCAGGATAAAAAAAAAACAAAACCCAAACCTTCAGGAACTGAGAACCACCACCTAAACCAAAGCCCTGCAGAAGCTGCACTGTGTGGGCACAGTGACATACTGAGGGTCTGTACTGTGGTGGAGCATCATGTGTCCAAGCCAGAGCCAGAAAGCCAAGGTGAAAGCAAGAGAAACATTTGCAGCATGACCCTGAGCAAGAGCAAACACAGGGCTTGTGGGGCTGCTTGCCAGCTGGAAAGAGGCTTCAAACGGTGAGTGAAGCAAACTGCCTCCTGTTCAATTCCTACACTGTTCATGGGAAAAACATTCAAATTGGACATTCTGGATGAAATCCCAACTGCATGGGAGCAGTGTCACTGCTTTCTCCTCCCAGAAAACTCAGGGGAGCTGAAGTGCAGCAGCTGATTGCATTGGAGCTAGGGTCAGAAGGGCAGAGCCTTGGTGGGGGCACTGGGAGAGGACCCAAAGAGCCCCATAGTTTGGCAACCAATCCATCACAGTGCCAGCAGACAATTGCTGTGTGAGACACTGGAGTTCCTGACATCCTGCTAAGGAGGCACCGGAACGTCCTGCACAACACGGCCCAGGGATCGATCAGCAATTCAGCAGCCCCAGCCCCACAGCCAGACCTTTGCCACCCCCAGAGTGGACTTTGGTCTGACAGGAGAGCCACCAGGTCCCACTGCCATGGCCAGAACCCTGGATTCCAGACAGAAACCATTATTCAGCCTGAGGCGTTTTCTACTCAGGAGTGTCAGGGCTCTATTTAATCCCGCCAGCTCAGTCAAATGCTGCAGGAAGGGGCCATGTCACATTAGCCAGTAAACAGAGACAAATGCTCAGTTTTACGTCACCAACCGCCTGTTGCTTATACACTGCACAAGATTTACATAACTCACACCAGGGCTGTGCCAAGAGACTCCTGCTCGCTCACCCAGCTAACACCATGAGCTGGAGCTTAGTTTGCACTAGGATTTCTTCCTGTAGTACAGCAATCCAAGGCAAAAGGTATTGTAGGAGCTACAAAAGACAGCAACGCAGCTCTTTCACTTCCTAATCCAGTACTACATAACTGCATTTTCAGACATACCACAACATCTTGTGAGTGATGATTCTGGAACCAGTTGTACTAAGGTTTTATTGACATTGAGAGGAAAAAAAAAAAATCTCTGAGGGGCAGATTTCTGCTGCAGTTCTGTGTGAGGCAGCCTCACTGTGTTTGTTTGCTTGGCTGCAAACAGGCTTCAGAAGGTAGTGGGCTATTTGTGCACACAGGCCCGGGGCCAGCACTCCCCTCCCGGGGTCATATTTCAGTGCTCTTTGCCATTGGGAAACAACAACACTCGTTTGCAGCATCGAGTTAAAAACTAACTAAAGAACAACACATGCTGAAAACCAGATTTGCCACCATTTGTGATCAGATATTCCCAAACCCACCTCCCCACTCCCACCGTGTGATCTGTGAGGTGGGGGCTGTTTAGGGTGAGCCCTTCTGTGTGTTCCGATGTCTCTTGGACTCCCCACTAGAGAACTACAAAGAAGCTTCCAGAAACTGAAGAGAAATTCACAGTGGCAAAAGCCAAAGTCAGGATGACAAAGCAAATCTGCCTTGAGTTCACGTTCGTTGACACAGACAGCCCCGGGAGATAGGGATGGAGCAGCGGTGGCCCTGCTCTGTGCCAGAGGTGCCCCCAGCTCACACAACGCTGCCAGCTCTGTCCCACTGCTCCCCAGAGACAGTGCTCCCCCTGCTCCCCTGCCCCGAGCCCCCAGGATCAGTTGGAGGGCAGTGCTCTGGGGCAGATGCCGTTTGCAGAGGCGAATTCTGCAGCCTGGTTCTGTGCAGGCAGCAGAGCCCCAGCAGCACACCGTGCCACGGCATCAGTGGAGCTCACAACCAAATGCCACCCTAATGACAGAGATGGCTTAAGGGCAAACACACTTAAGGCCCTGAAACTTGTCTATGCTTTAAAATACATGTAATTTTTATTTTAGTTTACCCTTGTGCCCAGCTGTAACTGCACAGACTCAAGTGCAGACACTGCAGGGCCAGGCAGGAGCAGTCAGCCCTCGGCAGGACGGGTTATCAGCTAAAGGCTTCTGCTCACACAGCCCTGCCTGCTTGATTTTCTCCTCCTCAGTGGAGTAAACTCACTACACTACTTACTCCCCCTCTGCTCTCTGCCAAAGGAGATAAATTACTATTATAAACCAAACAACTCTGCAAATGCAGCCAGTTTAATTGACATGACTGAGCTCTTCTAATTACAGGGGTGGCCACACAGCTCTTTCTTAACAGGGCCCTCCAGGTCCCAGGCCCTCCTTGTGTTCCCGAAATTAAGCAATTTTTCCATTTTTAGAGCACTCCCAGGCCACAGCAGTGTGTAGCCCTGCCACACTTACAGAGCAGGTCTGACAGGATCCAGGCCCTAACTCCTGGGTAAAGCCTCCAGTCACAAGTCACCCCAGTGAGCAGGTGAGCCCAGGGATCAGCACCACGCTCAATTTTAGTCCTAAGAGTGAGATTCCAAAAATAGAGCGGGGAGGAGGCAGCAAATACAGGTTACAGCTCCACATCATCACCCAAATCCACTCTACCTCTACTCCTTCCTCTCCAAGGGCACCCCATGACTCTTAGATGTCAAGCACTTTTCCCACACAACACCAAAGTGTTCCTTTTCAGATCAGTTCTTTTGCTCTGCTGCTTTGTTTCAAGCCTCAGGAGCTAAATTACAATAGTCAAGTTAAAATCCTTCTCTGCTAATAGCTCTGGAGATGTCCCTTAACAACTCTTAAGTGTTAGCAAAGAGGTGGCTCATCTTGAGCCCTTCTTTCCCTTCCCTGTTTTTTTCCAGACAGCCTTTTGTTGTGTTAAACCAATATACTTAGGCATTAATTACTCCCAATTAACCAGGTCACCACGGCAGTATTCAAAAATAAAAGAAACTCTTCCAAATCAGTTCACAAACTCGAGGCCTCCTTACACAGCCTCACTGTCCTACAAACAACCACCAGCACATGGGTAAGTGGAAATGGTTTTTTAATTAATTGAATCAGAGTTTTTCCAGGAGAATGAAGAAACCGAAGCACCAAGGCTACTGTGGCCTCACTAAAAGCACGGCAGGTGCCCAGCACCTTCCTGCTCCCCAGAACACGGAGACTTCTTTCAGCATCAAGAAGTTCAGCAGCTCAGAAAAAGAGCTGTACAACCAGGTCCTCTAAACACAGAAGACGAGGGACATGAGAACTTGAACTATAAATGTTACAGGAATCTGCAAATTTTCATTTATCGTCAAATTCTTTGATGAAAGAGCCAAAGATATGCCTTTTTTTAAGAAACAGATTTGGGGGATGTAGAGGGGTGTAAAAATTCAACTCAAATCGCAGTTAAAGCTCAAAATCCAGCTTGCAAATTTCCCTCTCTGTGGCTCCTGCCCATGCCCAGAGCACCCACCAGCTCCCAGGGGATGCTGCGGGGCTCTGGTTCTGCCGAGCTGTCAGAACACAACTGTGGCACCGAGGGCTCCTTCCATGTGCAACTGCAGATGGGGCAGCCCCTGGATCACGCCCGCCCAGCCAGCAGAGGACATTGCTGAGGTCGTGGAGAAGCACCGTGACACACAGACACTGTGAGGAAGGTGCCGAGGGGCACATCTGTCCCTGGAGGGAGGGAGGAGCCAGGCAGGTGCCGCTGGGAGGTGTGTTCCCTGCAGCTCTCTCCTGCAGTGTTTTGTCACGAGCAAGGCAGCTCAGGTGGTACCTCCTGGAAACAGGCAATGCAGACACCGAGCAGTGCTAAACATCAGAGTAAAACCTCCAGCACAGAACACACGAGGGAGGACACCTCGGACCCCTTCTGTAACTCAAGTCTCAACCTTCATAGGCCTTTCCTCGCTCTCCAAATGCACCGTGTAACCAGGCACCACAGCACCCCAGCAGGTGTCCATTGTTAAAAAACAAAAAGAAATAGTGCAGCAGATGGATAATTTCTTAC